TGGCTGGCTGCACTGGTCCCCGGCATTGGCTGCATGCATGTTAAGTGGAGAGACCATTGATTGCGTCTAGTACCAGGAAGGCCTGGATTTCAACCTTGCTCCTGTTCCTTATTGCCTGTAGGATCTGGGGCTGTGCTCCCCCACTTGTGTTACTACACCAACCTGGAAGGTAATTTATATAAAGCCCTAATCACAGTGCTTGGCAAATGGCAGGTGTTAAAAAAAATACTCTTTTCTCTCCCCATCATTCCTTTTCTCTCAGTGTGTTGCTACCATTTAAAAATCACTTTAAGGGGAATGCTAAGCTAGAGGTTAGACTAATGCTTTCAAATCCTGACTGTGTCAGAGGCCCTGCAGAAAGTTAAAATTTACGGATTTCTGTCTCACACTGGACTGAGTCAGAGACTGTGGGTTTGGGCCCAAGCTCCCAGAGGTTTTCAGAGCCCCACGTAGGATTCAGTGGTCCAACCTTGCCTACTTCTCCAGGATTATCTTACAGCTACGTGGTGATGGCTTCTTCTGGGCCCCTCGAGGGCTTCTCTTGTCCTTCCTGACAGGGATCTTTGCACAATTCCTTCTGCCTGCCTCCTGGGCCCTTTCCACACAATCAATCTGATAAACTCCTTTCCTTCTCTTTCTTCAAATCTCCACTTAATGTCCATTTCCTCGGGAAGCTGTGACCATCTGTTGAATCTGAATATCACAGCTCACAGAGATCTGTGCACAAGTGCTTATAATTTTGTTTGATTAAATGATTGATATCAGTATCCTTACTGAACTCTAAGCTTTGCATAAGTAAAATCTGTTTAAATTTTTATATAAGCTTATTTTTTTTTCCAGTACTGGGAATCAAATCCAGGGCCCCACCCCATGCTAGGCAAGTGCTCTCATACACCTGTTTCACAGACATTTATCATACATTGTCATCCAGTATCTGACATATTTCCTAAATTTCCCTGGTTTTCTTCATTATCAGTTATGCACCTTCAAGAAAGAGTTGACCTATCTTCCCTTGCAACTAAGTACAGGAAGTTTACCCTGGATACAACAGTCAGAGACTATTCTGTGTGAGACTGATTCAGAAGCAACCATGTGGAATAGCAGGTGCTCTGAGGAATCCATCTGTATTAGGTTATTTTCTGAAACTATAATAAAATACCTGAGGTAGAATGCTTAAAAAGGAAAGAGTTTTATTTAGCTCACAGTTTTGGAGGATGAAAGTTCAAACATCAGTTTTGATAATGACCTCCTAATGTGTGGCATCATGGTGGGAGTGTATGTGAGTGTGTATGTGTGTGTGTGTGTGTGTGTGTGTGTGTGAGAGAGAGAGAGAGAGAGAGAGAGAGAGAGAGAGAGAGAGAGAGAGAGAGAGAGAGAGATATGGGGGAGACCATACCACAAGATAGAAAATCAGAGCCTGTCTGTGAGGTGCCAGTAATGACTGCCCGCTAAGCCCTACCTCTTAAGGTTTGAGGATCCCACCACTTTTCAGCATTGCCATGTGGGGACCAAACTCTTGATACATTGAAACCATATCCACATCATAGCATCATCTTTTGGCCAGAACGGTGATGAAGATTTTAGAGGAGAACGGTGGCAAAAGTTCTTGGCATCTGGTATCCAGCATTGTTGGGGCCATCTGTGATGCTGATGCCCAGGATTAGAAAATTTTCACACACACACATATATATATATATATATATATAGAATCATTAATGCCATCTATATATCTTTATATATCACATTAATTGTTCAACTCTTATGAATAGTCTAGCTAGAATAGGTTTGAAACTAAGAACCAGTTACCTTATTTGCCTTCTGCCTAGCATAAAGCATACAACAGATGTTAGATGTTCCGTGATGTGTTTTGAATGAAATAATTTATTAAGTCTTTCCTACAGTTCCACACTAAGCACAGGAAGTTATGTGAATTCCCATGCTTCCTCACAGACTTATTACCACCCACTCTGGTGGACTGTGTACTTCTGCAAGATACTTGTTGTCCCTTTTGTGGGGAGGGAACTACACTTCTCTGCCTTATTGATAAAGGCTCAGCCATGTCTTGCTCTAGTCCATGAAATCTGAACAAAAGTGTTCAGATAGAATTTCCAAACAGAAGTCTTAAGAACCAGCAGGTGATCCTCCATGTCCTTTTATTTATTTATTTATTTTTGTTCAGAGTCAGGCAATATTCCAAAAAGAGGCTGCTCTATCAGGCGGGGTCCTGGAGAGAATTTGATAGAGAGTGAGGATGCAGGGAGCACAGCCTGGCTGGAGCTGTGGGTCACTGGGATGCTGATGCGTGTGTTCATGGCCTCACCTAATCTGTCCTAATGCACACACCCGTTTGCACAGGAAGACACTAAGGACAAGCAGTAATTGAGACTGGATTTGAATCAGGCATTTTAGCTCTAGAGTTAATTACATCCTACCCACATACTAACCCCTACTGAGTTTAATCAAAAAGAAGGGAAAAAAATCCCCCAATTATGTATATATTTATAAATGAGAAATTAGAAATAGCCACACATTCTATGGTTATTTACAGCATTATTAAATAAAACCTTAAAAAATTACATGCAAATGAACTTGGAAACTTGGATGAGAGGATGTTTGCTAAGAGAATAGGAATTAACAAAATGAACCTTAGCAGATACAAAGATACAAAATGGAATAAATTGAAAACACGAATGAAGAACCATCCCTGACACCTCCACCTGCCAGCTATTTCTGAAAATGTCAGGCCTAGGTTGCTTTATTGGTGAATCATTTCAAACCTTTAGGCTTGGGGCAACAGATAATTCCAGTGCTACTGAAACTATTGCGCTGAGAAAGATACAAAACTCTCAAACTTTTTAGAAAGTTGCATTGTATCAAAACCTTACAAAGTTAACACTGAAAATAACATCCAATCTCACTTAAGAATTGGGATGACAAATTCATGTTCTTAAAAATAACACAATTCACAAAACATTATACTGCTTGAAATTCATTTTTTAAAACTAAGTATAGCTCAATACCTGACATATATTATAATGTAGTATATTAACAGAGATTAGAGGAAAAGTGTATATTCATCTCAATGACCAAAGATATCTAATGAAGTTCAGTAACTAGTTCAAGTTTAAAAATATAGACAAATCAGAAAGCAGTAAGACTCTAATAGATATGTTCTTTCTCCACCAAAAAAACAACAGTAAAAATGATATTTCAAATTGTCAGCATTAGTCTCAGGATGAAAACACTAGAAACCAAAGACAAAGTCCCCAGTCTCAGCACTATTTTAAGACATTTTGGCTAAGCACTGTGTATTGCATGTATGCAACATTGCAAGTATGACTAAGAGATAAAATTCTACATGAAGAAAACTAAAAATTGAAAAACTATTAAAATAACAAGAAATCTCAAAAAATGTATCAATTTTTACAAAAGTAGTAAGTACACACCCACACACACATACACACCCACACACATACAACTTGTTTTTTCCTAGGAAGGAATAATAGGGCCAGAGTTTATCCTCCTAACTGAAATAACCAAAACACTTATGAAATAACAGTTTTTGAAACAATGGAAATTAGTCAATGATGGTCAGTGAATCCTGACAGATGGAAAATATATGAAGCATGGAGTTAGAGAAGATAATGCTAAATGAAGTTAGCCAACCCCCCCCCCCCCCGCCTCAAAAAAAAGCCAAATGTTTTGTCTGGTATAAGGAGGCTGATTCATAGTGGGGTAGGGAAGGGGAGCATGAGAGGAATAGATGAACTCTAGATAGGGCAGAGGGGTGGGAGAAGCAGGGAGGGGACAGGAGGTTAGAAATGATGGTGGAATGCGATGGATATCATTATCCAAAGTACAGGTATGAAGACACAAATTGGTGAGAATATCTTTTATACAACCAGAGATATGAAAAATTGTGTACTGTATGTGTAATATGAATTGTAATGCATTCCACTGTCATATATAAATAATAATAATAAAAAGAAAACATATGAAGCAAGGGCTACGTTTGCCTAGCTCCCTACATTCAGAGAGCTCCAGACTGTAGCTCAGGAGGAGGTCAGTGGACTCCTTGGGTAGAGGATCATTCAGAGGATAGAAGAAAACTTTTAAAATCAGTAATTAAATTCCAAGAGTCAAGAGAAGTTACAGCATCCACAGAGTAAGGCCGATGTCTTGATAAATAAGCAAAGATAAGAAAGGATTCGTGGAGGTTTAAAATAAGAAAGAATGAAAGTGAAGGAGGCTTGAAAGATAAAGTTGGAGAAACATTCTTAAATATAGAACAAAAAGACAAAAAAACCAAATTGCTATAAAGCAGGAAAGCGAGAGAGAGAGAGAGAGAGAGAGAGAGAGAGAGAGAGAGAGAGAAGAAACTTGGATGAGGCTCAAGCTAGCAGATAATAATTCCAGAAATAGAAATTAAAAAAAAAATACTGCTGGGTGTGGTGGCACATGACTAAAATCCCAGTGATTTAAAAGACTGAAGCAGGGGAATCAAAAGTTGGAAACTAGGGCTGGGGTTGTGGCTCAGTGGCAGAACACTTGCCTAGCATGTGTGAGGCATGATTCGATCCTCAGCACTGCATATAAATAAATAAATAAATAATCAAGGTACATGAACAACTAAAAAAAAAAAGTTAGAAACCAGCCTCAGCAATTTAATGAGACCAGTCTCAAAAAATAAATAAATAAATAAAAATAAAAAGGGCTGGGGATGTCGCTAAGTGGTAAAGCACCACTGGATTTAATTCCCAGTACAAACAAAACAAAACAAAATACCTGTGGAAAGAGATGTGTGAAAACAATACCAGTAAACACCTCATAGCAGAAGAATCTGATTCTCCTGATAGAAGGAACCTATCAAGGGACCAAGTACAATGACAGCAAAATGACCTGTAATTGGAAATTAAAAAAAAAAAAATTCTAAAACCCTTCAGAAGAAAAAGCAGAACATTCCTGAAGAATAAGAGTAAGAATGGCATTTGTTTTTTCAGTATAAAAATGGGAAACAAGAAGACAATGAAGAAACATGTTTACAATTCTAAGAGGCATTTGGAAGAAAGTACTCTGAGAGCAAGGTATGTGGAATTCTTTACATGTCACTTTTTTTTTTTTTTTTTGGATGGTGCTGGGGATTGAGCTCAGGACCTCCCACATACCATGCAAGTGTTCTATCACTGAGCCACATCCCCCAGGTGTGCTGAATTCTATACCTAGGCAAGCTCACAAGTCAGGGCAAAGGGGAGAATTGACTTGGCAGGCTAGGCAAGTGCTTCACTCCTGAATTGCATACCCCATTAAACATTATAAGACTGGCAGTGGCTTAAAAAATTGATTCCTTGTAATCCCTTCCTCCAAATATGCTTTGGATTTGCATCTCAAAATGAAGGATTAAAAAAAGAGAAAATACAGGGCCAGAAATATAAAGATGGAAGAGAAAGTCCAGAACTATACGGGCAAATAATTCTCAGTGGAAGAAGAAGAAGGAAGACCCAGGTAAGATTTCCTTAGGAAAACAACAACAACAACAACAAAAAATGATCTATAGATTTTCTAAGGAAAATGATCACATGGAAATAGAATTCAGAAAGGTGTCATTATTTTTGGAGGACTTGGTACAAATGATCATTAGTGGATTTATCAACTTAAATGTGCTAGAAAAGTCCTGCTCTAAATTGTTTTTCTATTCTTTTCAGTATAGAATTAGTTATTAATTATTATAATACTTTTCAATTGCTAAAGGAATTTTTAAGTGGGTAAATTATGATCCCAATACAGTATAAAATGAACATGTCAAATATTTTACTTAAGTTATCAGCTAATGAGGAAGCTAGTAAGATTGCCAAAGGAGAATCCATAGAACAGTTTTACAAACTGACAATAAGTAATAGTGAATTGCATTTTCTAATACATGCCAAATTGACCACTTCCACCAAGGAGAAACTGATTGAATCTCTACTGCACACAATCCTTTATATCTTTATTTTTGTCACTGGAAGAGATCCAAGGCGTTCCTAGAGAGGACCTCAACTCAAGATGAATGAGGTTCTTGACAAACATCACAAAAGTGAATTTAAGGATGAGTCAGAGACACAGAAATTTGTTTAGGAAAGCAGAGACACATTCAAGGGAGAATGCAGGCCTCGTACAGCAAGAAGCAGCAACTCCTTGATCTGAGGTGTTAATATTTATAGAGGGACATATTTATAGCTAGGGGCTATCATAGAAGTAGAGTCAGGGTGTAGTTGTGATTTTACACCATTTTTTTTTAAGAACACTTGCACTTTGCCTTTGCATCGTGTTTTTTTGAGGGCAAGGATGTGGAACAAGGGCAAGGGCCAAGGGCCAGGACTGGATTGCTAAGGAGTTGCTTCTTGTGCATTCCACTCGTTCATCTGCCTTTCCTGTCACCCAACAGTTCCACAGTTGTGGACACTTCTCTTTTCAGATTTAGTAGATCTTCCTTTCTCTGAGTCCCCCAATTCTGATCTTCTCTTCAATTTTCATTTGGATTACTCTCAGTTATCTACAACTTATAGGGTTGTAAAATGACTTAGTTAATGACAGTTATGAGCATAGGATCTCTTTGAAAGGTCCATTACACAATATGTAGTACTCTACTGAGAGAATTTCAAGTACAATTTTTGTTTGTTTCAGATTTCTTTTTTCACATTTTCTTCCTGACACACAATTTGAATTTTAAATCCCACTTTTATTTAAAAGTATAATGGAGAAAACCATGTGTGCTATAACCCTAGTAAAGCAAAGCATAGCTGTTTAATAACTGGCCAGACTTGAGCAAGTATCTTAGAGCATTTTATTGCAGCTGGAGTTTTGAAGGAGGGCAAATTTCTAAGACATGCTCTAAGATTTCTAAGCCTTTATAATGACAAGAAGCCCCATTGTAATGAATACTTATTACATACTCTAAGTGGATCATCCAGAATTCCAAGGTCAAACTTTTTAGTTTGTGTTGCTAAATGGCATTTATGAGAGATCATTGTTTTGGATTGAGCTTCTGTGTTAGGCCCTGGTAGACCAGACCAAACTAGAGTGAAGTCACATATGTTAGGTGTTACAAAATCAAACTAAACTTAAAGACAGGCCCATTAAAACAAACAAACAAACAACCTCCAGAACATTCAGAGCAACCATTCAATAAGGGCGCAGTTGACATGAGCAAATGTGATAAGGAAGTCCCTGCTGCTTTAACCCATACAAGAAAAAATAGCAGGATTGAGCACTCCACAGTCTGCTCCTATTTCCACTTCTTCAGCCTTTTCCACATGTATAAAAACCATCTCCTCTGCTTAGCTCAGAGGCAAGTCTTTCTGTTTCACAGATGGGATGCGGCCCAGGTCATGAATCGCTAATGAAAACCAACTAGTTCTTTAAAACTCAATTTGTTGAAATTTGGTCCTTCGACAGTATTGACCATCATCTTTTCTAGAGCAACTAAATGATAATGACAGTGATAATCAAAGGAGGAAAAAGATGGTGTGTAAAATCTCTGGGACAGAATTAGTTCTTAGTCTATGTGTAAGATACAGAAGCAAGGAATATAGCTTAGTACAGTTAAGATGGTACATAGCCAGATAGTCAACTTAGAGTAGAATTTTCATCAATCACTTTCCTCCTTTCATCTGGCCTTTAGGATCTTTCCATGAACTCAAGAATGCAGGGCTGGTGGAGAATCTGGACTGCATAGAAGAGAACATCTCTTAAAACATTACTATGTTTTAGTAATAATGATCAAAAATAAGAAAAAAACAGCTGTAAATCTCAGAGAATTATTGTAACTCACCTCCAGGAAACCACCAAACCGGACAGCAGTTATTAGACTAAATAGAAAGAAAAGGACATGATCCTAGCTATGCAAAATTTAATTTACTATCAACATTTCTATTTGCAAGTGCTAACTTCAGCAAAGGAAAGTGCCCTTCATTCAGAGCTTGTATATAAAATTCTATGTTACATCAAATAATGATTTTCTTAAAGACAGAACCTAGAAGATATTCTACTCTGAAATATTCAGAGTGGCCTTTATACTTCCACTATTCTCTTCTCCCAAAGATGGTTTGAACAATTGATTTATAGATGATGTCAACCAAGAACTTGTGAATATCCTTTCTCTTCCTGGTTTACTGGGGATGAAGTAGAGCCAGAACCAAAGGATCTGGAGATCATGGGATTGGACTGAACTTGTGTGAAGATCTCAATGTGTGTCAGGCTCACTGCTATGCATATTATCCTGTGTTATAGAATTCCCCCCTTTTAATTTTATAAATAAAGATACCAATTCACAGTATTGGGCCCAACCCATAATAGCTAGTTGTCCATGATGGTTTACTATCTTTCTGTTGCACCAAACTACCTTGCTAGCAGGATGAGGGTGAGTCTGTTCAGTCTTGTTCCCATCTGTGACTCTTCTTCTGGAGCTCTCCTTGTGCCACATCTTGTTTTCCTGCATTGTGAGTTTGTGTTCCCTAGCTGGTCACCTTCTGAGCCCCTTCAGTATTGCAGTATTCTACTCAATCCCCCCTCTTGGGGTAGCTATGAACATCCTCAAAAGTCTCTCTCCTCTTACTTCTCACAGCCCTTAGAATCAGTTCTATTTTTCATGTGTGTTTCATGTCCTGCTTTTAGTTAGACATCCTCTCTCATACCATTGGAGTCTTACATAGATCCCTAAATAGATGGTAAGATTCCAAGGCCAGGCATATACTCTTCAGCCTCTTTAAAACTCTCCACATCAAGTATAGGACCTTGCACAATAAACCCTTGCTAAATACATACATGAATGAAATTCTTCACAAAAATTTCCCAATCTTCTTCTCTCTACCATTAAAATGGAAATAACAACATATCATTTCTTCAGAATTCCTGCAAAAGGGGCAATTTCTGGTTAAGTAAAAATTTTCCAAGACATGAATGAGTGATCAAGGATCAAGGTTTAATTTATTTGAACATTCCCAAGGAACTGATCCCCACCCCTCACCCCAAGGCTGTTATGGAAATCTGTGGGATTTCAGGACAGGCTTTATTAGGAGGCCTGTAGGCTCTTCTCATGGAAGAGACTGACAATCCTGTACACAGTAGGGCTGACACAACTAATAGAATCAGTTCTACTGTGCTTCTTCCCTTTGTCCCATTCTGCTATGCTTCACAGCACCTCTCTGTTCTTGGGATTCTCTCTGTGGAACCGGCCTGATCTCAGCACCCTTGTTACCCCTTTCCAGAGTGTTCCCAGAAGAGCGGCTTCACATCTTGCCTTGCTTTTCTTCTACATCCTCAGTAGAAGGAAAAAAAACTGGCTGGACTCAGTCTCTTCCTGGGTATTTTCCCACACCAGAACCTCTGAGGGTGACTCCGTCAAACTCAGGTCAGCTTCTGTAATTGAAACGATCCATTTCATTAACTTTAATTACCTTCCCATCATTTCCCAAAACTTTCTTTCCAAAAGACCACTTACCAGACACGTAGCTTCCTATCGGTTTAAAAAAAATTTTTTTTTTGTCTATTTAGTTCCAAGAATTGGATTTCTTCACAGACGTCATTGCCCAACTTCATGTTTAAATGATTTAAAAGAAAGCTTTTCAGTTTGACACGGTGGGCTGGGAAACCAAATCCCAGTTTTCCACGCAAAAAACTAAGATACCTATGCAAACAGCTTTTATTTTATTTTTATTTTTTATTTTTTTTATCTTCAGGAAAATGGGAAAAATCGAGATGGAACCTCATGGCCTCCTTTTCTGGGCCCATTTCCCTCCTCCACCAAGAGCTTTGTAAATTAGGCAGAGTCACTTGCATTTTTACATTCTTAATACATTCATAGAAACATGCCATTTTGCCTTTTGAAAGCCAAGTAATAATGTTGGGATAATTTGGCAGTGAAATGACATCCCACTCCTTGATTTAAATAAGGGGGAGGGAAAGCCATTAGTTTCATATCCATCCTTGGGGGAAAATGCATCTTTAAGAAATTATGGGGAGAACAGATCCATTTAGAAAGTGCTCTAGTTTTTTTCTGACATGTCGTGCTTAGTATCAATTATCCATTTTTCTTTCTCTGTGTGCT